AGGAAGAGGCCCCCACCTCTTGTCAGAGGAGATTTCCAGCCTTGGATAGCACTTGCCACAGAGCCCTGGCCCCACTGTCCCTGACTTGGGCCCTGAATTCGGGAAGAGTAGAGGTGCAAGTGTGGTGTTTAGATGTTACATCCACACCGTTGTGGCCATGACCCATCTTGAAGCCCTGGTGTATATGCCTGGTAATGATTAAACCCTGCCCACGTCTCAGGTGTGCACAGGTAACCAATCTTCCTTCTCCACAGCATCTACCCCACTCACTAACACCTACCAACCCCAGCTTTCATGGGCAGCCCACATACATACCCACAGCCTTGCACCTAACCTTAATGCTAACCCTGCACACACAACATATGTATCAGCTTCTAAAGTAGGCAAAACTCATCCATCTCCACACCCCACCCTGCTGGTGCATGTGTGCCTATTACCATTCAGCCTCCCCTGTTTGGGCAGAGCTGAGCCACAGAAAGGAGGAGCTTCCCCAAGTAAAGTGGGGAGGCTGGGCCTTCAAGGAGCACCTAGGACTGGTACAGCCGAAGGTGGGTTTGTATCACTCCAGAGACAAAGTCTTGCATGCAAGCAGGTACACAGGGCACCCAGGTCATTGCCCAACAGTTCAGAAAAGGGTACTTAGTCTTTCCCCAAAGTGTTCCCAAAGAAGCAGAGCCCAAGTCTTCATTCACACAGATTCTGCTACCCTCAGAACCAACCCTCACCCTGCTAAGGTTCTCCATCCCACCATCTGCCCTCCTCCTGTAAGCAACCTTCCCTTCAGGCAGGTGCTCCTACACACACAATCACTGTCAATTTGAGTACCCAGCTTTGCGAGCTGCTGGGAGCCAGGAATCCAGTCATCTGCCTGTCATTCTCACATCATGTTCATGCTCCCAGTTATTTGCTCACACCAGCTCCCTAACAGCGTGCGCCCCAAGACTGCTCACCCATTGCTGACCCCACCCCAGTGATGAGCTTACTCTTTTCCCCTCCACTGCACAAATTTAGTTACACCTAGTTGCACACACTAGCTTTCCACAATTGACAATCAAGTTACACAGAATGCAGCAGCACACACCCAGTCACCCCCAGTTGCACATGCTCTGTTTCCATCAATCAGCTGCACATGCTCAGTCTCTCAGTTGCACACACTCAGGAACTCACCCTAGTCAAACCCACACAGCTTACCACACTCAGGTTCCCAGCCCCAAGTCTCTCCAAGGACTGGAGTCTGGAGGGAGGAGAGTGTGTGGCTGATAGCCACAGAAAGGCTGAGAGCACAGAGGTTGGCCTTGGAAGGAAACTGAGAGTGAAAATTCTTCTCCTGCCAAGGGAATACCCTCTCACCAGCACATCTGACAAAGCCAAGGAACCCTTCTCTTCCTTCTCACCAGTGCCCCAGCAGGCCTGTGGGAGACCCGGGCCTGTGGGCATATGCACACAGAGCTTTGGCTTGCCCAAGGGGAGGTGTCTGCCCACCTCTATTCTAATGTACCCAAACCCTAGCTCCCTGGCCCATGCATTAGGACCCCAGACAACCAGTTCTACCCCCCCCCCCACTCACACCTACTAGGTTCCAAGCATACACCTCTGTTCTGGAGCAGCAGCAGCATTCTACCTTCTAGCTCTCCCGCTCTGGCCCATTTGGGGTCCCCCTCCTTTCGGGACAGACCATGCAGCCGCTGACCTGACTCGCCTTTACCCTTGTTCTGGCCTCTCCCCTTACTTTCTGGGTCTAATAACTGCTTCTTGCAGCCAAGTGCATACCCACCCGAATATTGGCACAGATTGCTTTTCGGGCCCCCAAGAAGAGGCACTGTTGGCTGGGGGTGGGGTCCGCCTGGGTTTGGTGCCTGGGAGTGAGGAGGACGGGTGTGTGTGGGGGGGGGACTGTGCAGACCTAGGGGGCTCAGAAGAGTGGGGAGGAGGGGTCCCCGCAGCGACGGGCAGGGACGGAGGGGAGGCATGCAGCCCCAGTCCGTCCCTTTCAGGGGGGACTCATGCATCAAACTTCAATTTTCCGGACGATTGAATTAGTGATTTTTTTCCTCCTGAACTAAAATACACTTAAGTCTTTGGGATTAATTACCACGTTCTGGTCCCTCAGACTGGAGTATTACTTATCGGAGCTGCGTCTGACACCGGTCCGACACCTCGTAAAATAAGGGACTGCGCCTCCCGGCCTCACCCGGCACCGCCTACCTGGCAGCCAAGCCGGGAAGGCCGAGCCAGGCGGCCCCAGGATCTTCCGTATGGCCCGGCCTGTGGGGGTCCAGTGGTGCCCGGCGGCCATGCAGGTCGGTGCTCGGGGCGAGAAAGAGCCACCCCGGCCCGGCTTCCGGGTCGCAGAACCAAAAGTGCCCGCAGGGCGCCGGATTCCGGAGCAGCGGGACGATCTGGGGCCGGCGGGGTTAGAACCTGACCGAGGCCGAGTCCGAATGAACTTCGCCCCAGTGCACGCGGGGCCTGCAGCGCCCAGGCGGCCCACGCCGCGCTAGGACGCAGAAGGGCGGACACGCGGGGCACGGCCCGCGCCCACGAGCCACTCGGCGCGGACCACGGCCAGAGCCGACGCGAGGGGCCGAGCCCGAGGCCAGGTCCAGTGGCATCGCCCAGGGGCTGAAGGCACCGCGCCTTAGCAGCGGTCCTGCCGCGGCCGCAGGCTCCTCCGCCGCCCATGCGCAGGGGGCCTGGGCTCGCCCGGCCTTCCGGCCTCCCGCGGGGCCGAGCCCCAGTGGCCCGCGAGGCTCAGAGTCCCCGGACGGCGCGGGGAAAGCGCGAGCCCGTTAGGGCCTGGGCCTCTCCGCTCGGCCGGCCCGGCCTTGCGCTGTCACCGCGCGCCTCTGCCCCGGCGCTTCGAGGGCCGCCCGGGTCGACCCTCCGTTCCAGGCTGCGGGATCGAGAAGTCGTTTCTCGACCTTCGAGGCCGGGTCCCGAGTCGCTTTCTCCCAGAAGCACTGCCAGCCTAGGCCCCGGCCCTCCGGGCACCCCCGCCCGGGCCCGGCCTGCTAGACTGGGAGCTCCTTGCGGGCAGGAACGGGCCTTGCCACCAGGTTCAGTTCCGCCAGCTGTGCGCAGTGAATGTCTACGAAATCGAATGGATTCCTCCTTTTATTTTATTAATCCTTCCCTTTCCTTTTTTCTTTCTTTTCCGTCTTCCTTCCTCCCTCGTTATTTTTTATTTCTTGGTTATATTCAATTGTCATGTTTTTCAGGCTCATTAAATCCATTTAGAGACAAAAGAATAAAAGGCAGAAGGGGGAGGGCCAAGGAGGAGGGGGAGGGGAGGGAGGGGAGGCCGGAGAAGCAAACAAATAACCCGCTTTAACTAGACGGGCGGATAAATGGCCCCGCTTCTCCTCAGCCCCGATGCGCCTGCTTAGCCGTGCGCCCCGCGGGCGCCGCAGCTCGGGTGGGCTCGGCCCAGGGCCGCCGCCCCCAGCCCGAAGGGACCCAGCGGGGCCCGGCGCAGGCCCAGAGCTGGCGCGGGCGCGGGGCCGTGCGGGCCGCTTCATTGGGATTCATGGGCGCGGGGGGCGGGCGGCCCGGGCGCGGGGCGCGGGGGGCGGGGGGCCGGGGTGCGCGCGGCGGGCGCAGATGCCCGGGTGACCGCCGCGCCGCGGTCCCTGCGCCGCCTTTGTGCCGGGGAGGCGCGCGCGGGGACCTAATCCATCAAATTGTCTACAAATTGTGAAGAAAATTCAAAAACCATATGGTCGCCAGCGCCGGCGCGCTCTGGGCTGCGGAGGGCCGCGGCCGGCCCGCACCAGGAGCCGCGGGGGGCTGGGCCCGGCTATTGTCGCCTGTCAGCGGCTGCCCGGGCCCATTCGTCCCGGCCTTCATGGTCCGCGCTCCGAATTACAGACCCATCCATCCTGAGAGGGCGGTTTATGTCCCCGGGAGGCACCGGCCGCAGGCCCGCGAGGCTCCGCCGCCGCCCGCCGCGGCCCGCGCGTGTCCCTTCTCCTCGTCCTCCTCCCGGTCTCCAGAGAACCCTGCCTCCTCCCCGCGGCCCTGCTCCCCTCTCCCCGCGTTTAGCTGTCCGCCCCCGCTGCTGGCCGCCCCGTCCTTCCCTCCCGGACACACGCGCTCCCGACTCAGGCCCGGGGGGGGGGGGCGCCGTCGCCTGCCCCGGACCAGATGCGCGTTTCTCACATCAATTTTGCGGAGAAAGAGCCCAGTGGCCGGAGGCGGGACCCTACTCCGGTGACAGCGGCCACTCGCCAGCCCAGAGACAACAAAGCCTAGAGAAACTCGCTCAGTTCGGAAAATGGAAGCGGCCGAGCGCCCTCCCCAGCCAGGCTGGTGCCCTCCAACCCAGTCTCGGCGGGATCCAAGCCTCAGCCGCCCGCAGAGTTCGGGCCTACAAATAAGGAAACATTAACAGAAATTTACCCCAGCCCAGGTCGCTTTGGGCTCACATCCCAAGTGAGTGCCCTTGTGTTCTATTCGGTTTGCCCTTTTTGCCTTTAGTCTTATTATTTATCACCTGTGCCCCAAGGACGAAGCCCTCCAGGCAGGTAAATTTGGGACCCCGCAGACCCCACCCTCTGTCTGGCTGAGTGACACCTGCCTGCCAATGCGCCAGGGACGCAGCCCAGGCCTTAGGGAGCGCAGGTAGAGCGGGCTGGGCCGCAGGCAGGACTCCGGGAAATGCCAGGTCAGGCTCTCCTCCCCACACTCTGCCCCAAACAAAGGATTTTGTACTGCGGTACCCGGGGGAATACACTCCTTTCTCCCAGTATCACACGCCCTGCTTTTTACCCGGACCTGGCGAAGCCCGCTTCTTTCTCCCATTTAGTAGCTGCTGCATGTCCACAGACAAGAAGCACCTCCTCCTGCTGCTCCTCTCTGTCCCTTGCTCTCCTGCCTGCCCTAAAATGCCCCCCAAATCTTTAAGCCTGGGGTATCTATCAGGCCAGGAGCAGTGAGGAAAGATCAGCATGCCCGCTGCTTCTCGGATGGCCCATTCACTCAGACACGAGTGTCATCGCCGCTTCTAGTAAAATGGCAAAGACTTTATTTATCGGAGAAAGAGACCTTGGGTACAGTCCGCAGAGGAGAGGGCCGGACAGAGTAGGAAGGGGCACACAGGACCCATCCTCATCAGGCCACCCTTTCCCGGCCAAGTCCAGCTAGGAGTAGGGTGTTAGAGACGGCAGGAGAGATTTGGGCTGCAGAGGAGGTTGGGAAGAAGACTTGGGTTGGCTTCCTCTCTGTCTCTGTCACATGCAAAAAAATTCTAAAAAGAGTAAAAAATAATTCTAGGACTTTGGGTTCTGTTTCTGATGGATGGTAGATTGAATGTCCCCCTGCTTTGTCATTAAGAACCAGACTCCAGCAATCAGTCTGAGAAAATGCAGGAAAAAGGGAAGAATCCTAAAAATAGCGTTAGTGGGCATCAGGAGGCAGAAATGGCATCGAACACAGTTCTCTGGTGTGGGGAAGGAAAGATCGATTTTGAAACTTGCAAGTCGGGACCTGGCTGCCCCCTCACTCTCTTCCTGTGCAGGGAAAAAGGGCAGAATGAAAGAAAGGGCAGCTGCCACAGGCCAGGGAGGAAAGGAGGGAGCCGGCCAGTGCATTCGTAGCATGCAGAGAAAAACCGAAACAGCCAGCACGGCCCCTTTTCGCAGTCGCAGGGTTTGCATTCCCGTCCCGTTCTCAATTCTGCCTCACCCTCAGCCAGCCTGGCAGCCAAACAGCTTTACAAACATCGAAATATCTGGTATTTAAAAAAATAAAAGAAAGAAAAAATCCAGGCTGTGGCGAGAAGAATCTGCTATATAGGTTTCAATATTTATACAGACGCCATACAGATTTGCACAGCGAGGGCTCCCAGGACGGCGGAGGCCTCTTGCAGCGGCCAGCCGGCCAGCCGGCCCAGGTTTATTGCTTCAAGAGGGAAGAGGTGGCTGCAGGGAGTCCAGGCCTGGGGACAAGGAAGGAGACAGGCGCTGCGGAGGAGGTCCCAGCTCCCCTCAGCTGTCAGGTCCGGGAGGCCGTTGGTGCTCGGGCGGGCGCTAGAGGATCGGGGTGGCAGAAGATGGGGCGCGACTCAATCGTCCACGTCGATCTCTTCATCTTCCTCGTCCTCTGAGCAGTCCTGGCTGCTGGCCCGCTGGTCTGTGAGTGGAGAGGCAGGGGAGAGCTGTAAGGGTCCAGCACCAGGGGCCTGCGGGGGGCCTGGGGGGAGCACTGGGGAGTTTGGCCTGGACTTGGCCCTGCCACAGCTGCTGCCACCACCACCGCCGCCGCCGCCTGCGGCCTCCGAGTTCTGCTCGAGTTCGGCCAGTGCTACGATGTCCATCTGCCCACTGGGCCCCAGTTTCTTGGCAGACTCTACATCGGCCTTCATCTCCTCCAGGTCCCGCTTGAGCTTGGCACGCCGGTTCTGGAACCAAGTGATGACCTGGGCGTTAGTGAGGCCCAGCTGCTGCGCGATTTGGTCGCGATCTGCCGGGGACAGGTACTTCTGGTACAGGAATCGCTTTTCCAGCTCGTAGATCTGGTGGTTAGTGAAGGCTGTGCGTGACTTTCGCCGCTTCTTGGGGGTCTGGCGCTGCCCAAAGATGGTCATCCCATCGCGGCCTGGAAAGAAATGAAGGATAGACTTCTACAGGAAGAGTGGAGGGGACTCACCCCAGAACTCCACACCCCACATAGGCCCATGTGGCCTGGTGCCTACTGCTATTCATCCTCCCAGACTGTAGTAAACAGAGGCTATGACAAACCTCTAGTCTCCAGGAAGTCTCTAGGAAAAATTGTTTCGGTCTCTGTTCACGCAGTAAGAGTTGGTTTGAATCACCCAAAGTCTGTGAAAGCACCAGGAATTCGGACAGGACTCCTAGATTGCAGCATGAATGTTGATTCCCTAACCCTTGCAAACTCTAGTCTACCCTGAAGGTACCAGCAAAAGATTCTGTCGATTCTAACTCCTCTGGGTCGAAGTGCCTGGGCCGCTGGGAACCAGAGGGAGCCAGCCAAAGCAGACTGACTGATGAAACGAGCTCAGGTTCCCACCACCCCTCAGACCACCCCAGAGCATGGCCAACCAAGAGGTCCCTAGGACACAGAGACTGGGTCCTGGCCCGCTCCCTCTACCCAAAGCACGAGGCTGCCGCTGGAGGAGGAGGAGGAGAGCAGAGGCATCGAGTGCGCGGAGCGCTGAGCGAAGGGGTCCGGGCGACAGTGCCTACCTTCGGCCGCCTGCAGGACGCTGACCTCCAGCCCCTTAAAGGTCTTGCTGGCGAGCTCCTCCAGCGCGCACAGCGGCGAGGTCTGCGAGAGAAGCGCGCGGCCCGCCAGGGGCAAGCCGCCCGGTGCGTGCTTGTCTGCAGCGGCGAGCAGGTGCGCCGCCCCGCACAGCGAGTAACTTCTCCGCACGGACGGCTTGTTGAGGATGTCCTCGATGCTGAACGGCGTCAGCGGCTTGTTGGAGTTGGCGGGCGGCGGCAGGTGGTCCAGAGGGCTGCGCCGCCGCTCCTCCCCCGGCGCCGCCTTGCTGTCCTCCTTGGAAGTCATCTCTGCCTCGTTCGGGGGCCCGGCCCAGGCGGTTCCGACCTCGGGGACCCAGACCGCGGGCAGCTGGGGCGCCAGGCGGCGAGGATGGGCGGCGCGGGGGGGGGGTGGTGGTGGCAGGGAGGCCGCCCCTGGGAGGGCGCACGCCGGGCACCGGGCCGTTTAGCGCGGCGGCCGAGGCAGGCAGAGCCGCGCGGGGCCCAGTGAGGAGCGCGCTGACGCGGCCGCCCTCGCAGCCGCCCGGGCTCGCAGCAATCCGGGGCTGGAGCCGGGGCGTGCCGCGCGGGGCTCCAGTTTCGCCGGCCCCGGTGCTATTTAAAGGTGTCAGGTGGCTCGGCGGAGACTCCTGGCCCCGGCTCCTGGCGGCCCCAGTTGGAAGAGCCGAGGCAAGGGCGCCGATCCCGGACTGCGAGGGGAGGCGGAGAGACGGGGCAGTTGACTATTGCTAACAAGTTAGCCTTGATCGAGGAGTAATCAATTATCTGCAGCGGCACTTCTGGCTTTCTCTCTGCCTTCTCCAGTGTTTCGCCGCTCTCTTCTTTCTGTTCTCTCCCGTCCTCTCCCTCTCCACCCTCCCTCCCCTCCTGTCCTCTTCTCTGCTTTGCTCTCCTCTCCGCTCCACTCCCCCCGTCTCTCCCTTTCTCTACCTCTCCCTCGCCCTCTTTCCCTCTCTGCCTGTCCAATGCAAGCGGCTCTAAGTTGGGAAGCTCATTAATTAGCGGGCCGGGGGTAGGAGGAGCCGGCTGGAATTAGCCTTCCTAACGCGCCTGTCAGTCCGGGCGGTGCCGCGCCGGGCGAGCTGTTTGTAAATGACATTAACCGCGCCTTTATTGTACTCCAACCTCGGGCGGCCGAAAGCCACCGCCCCCAACCCAAACAAGAGCCGCCTTCCCGGCGACCCGCCTCCCGCCGAGGCCCGGACTCCGCACCCGGGATTTGGCGTCCAAGGGGTGGCGGGAGCCCGCCGGGAGGGACGCGGCTGCGGCGCGGGCCAGGTAAGAACCGGATCCCAGGAGGGCCGGCTGTCGCGAGCGGACGATGCGGGGTGCGGGAAAGAGCCCGGTGACCTGTTCCGGACTCCGGGGCCCTCACCCCAGGCTCGGGCCACGCTCCTAGGGAAAGGAATCCGAAGCCCCGGGCTGGCCTGCGGAGGGAGGTCGGAGGCGGCTCCCAGCCCGGGGCGCACGACGCGGGACAGGGGTGGGATGGGGCTGGGGGAGGAGGCCGAGGGCGGGCGCGCAGTTGGTGGCTTGAGGCGCCGGTTCCGGGTCCCCGGCCTGTGCCTACCTCCTCGGCAACCTCTCACTCTTGTTCTGGCCGCGGCTTTCCAGGGCCACAGCCGTCTGATGAGCGGGGTCTGGCCGGCAATCGGGCCTGATGCGGCACCGGCGCTTCCCCGCAGTGCCGTGCTGGGCAGGGCCGCCCCGCCGCGGGTCCCACCCGGCCGGCTGCTCAGCTGCTCCAGTTGCGGAGCCGGCTGCCTTCGGGAACTCCAGGGAGGCCTGGTTCCCATTGGGCAGGCGGCTGGGGGACCCCTCTGGCCTGGGATATGCGAATATTAGGCGAGCATTGTTATGGGAGGTGTTTATTTTTTAATCTGTGTTTTGGTGTGTGGTTCTCCTTGTATGTGTTTATGTGAACGAGTGTGACTCTCTAGACACATAGGTGTGTTTGCACCTGAGCTACATGTTTCACTTCCTGAGGCCCCCAGCGGGTTGCACACTTAGGCCCTCTTCTCTGGTTTGTGTGGGGCTCTAACATTCTGTTTCCACCCTTGGAGATAGGAAGGAAGAAGAGGGGCTGGGAGGAAGAAGAGCCCCATCACTGCCATGAGACTGGCTTTGTTTGTAAACTCCCTGGTGGGCAGTGTGGCCAGGCAGCTCGCTTGGGCCAATGAAGGGCCCAGAGAGGAGAGTGCCAGGACTGGCAGCCAGAGCAGAGGTTGGAATAGGACTTGCAGAACTTCTGGCCCCTACTCCTGCCCTGGAGAGGAGTAAGCTCAGTTGGGCTGGGGCAGAGAGCAGATCCCCACCCACGCCCCCAGAAGAGGAGTCTCTGAATGCCAGTTGTTAGGAGTTGGAAATCATGCCTTACAGCTCTCTCTGAGTAAAACCAGACGAAGCAAGAATAAAAGGATTATTGTATAGGGTCCCGGTGCCAGGCCTGGACCTACTTAGGAACATTCGAAGCTCTCTCCGTCCTTCCTGTCTGTGCTCTGCATTTGAGGAAAGGGATGACAGACCTCGGAGTCAGAAATAGTGAGGATAGTTTCCCTCAGAGCTGAAGCTCTGTCCTCAGGGCCGGCCTGTCTTTGAGAATGCTGGGCCTAGCAACAGTGGAGTCCAAGAGTTTAGGGGCTGACATAGAGGGTCCCAAGAGGGAGGGTGCCTGAGAGCGTTTGATGCCCATGTGAAGCTGCCCTCTCCTCTCCTGTCCTTCCCTCAGGATTCTGCCTCAGCCCTTTCTTATCATACATAACACTGAAGCCCTAACCAGGCAGGCACCTACTGCATACACGCGCGCACACGCACACACACACTAGCAGGGATTTCTCTCCAGACCTGGGAAGCAGGTCCTTTACATCCCTATCATAAGACAAAGGGAGAAAAGGAAACTCCCATGCCCCCAGTACATTCCCGGAGGGGGGGGGCTGCTAGGACTGGACCTTCAGAACAATCCATCCCCATTGCTGCTCAGCTCTCAAAGCCCTCAGAGACCAGGGGTTAGGTTCATTGGGAAGTTGCCAGCAAGAGGGGAAATGTGCACTGGGGAGCAGCAGGCCCTGTTTCCCAGACCCTCCAGTCTTCACCCCTACCATGGCAAGGTGGGGAGGGTATTTCACAGTCATCTGCTGTGATTAGGGAAACCCCCCTTCCCTAGTCTGGCCTGTGCCTGCTGCCCAGTCTCTTGGTTTTGCTGATTTGGTCTAATTGGTTGGCCTCTCAGTCAACAGATTCAAGAGGACTGTCAGTTTGAGCATCTAGAGGACAGGTGGTACCTCCTAGTACTTTGTCATTTCAGTTAATTTTGCCCAGACTGGCTCATTCAGGGCACCTGCAGAAAGCAACCCAGGGCAGGTTGTGTGGCTCAACAGTGGGGCACTTATCTAGCACCTGTGAGGTCCTGGGGTCCATCCCCAGTCCCACAAAAACAAACAAAATAACAGAACCAACCCAACTGTCCCAGCAACCTTGTCAGCTTCCATGTCCCTACCTTGAGCCACACTCACCAAAAATGAAAAACATAATGAGTGTTTGGCTAGGATATTCTGGACTCTCAGGATCCAGTCTGCTGGCCTTTGGTGTCATCCTGTAGAGCAATGGATGTGTTCTGGTCAGCAACACACACACACACACACACACACACACACACACACACACACACACTCCAGGAGACTTTGGGCTCTTTAAAGGCAGGAGCCTGGGTCCCAGGTTGCACCAGGACAGAGGACCTATGGGGCTATGGGGATACCCAGCTCTCATGGTTCAAATGGACATGCATAGAGGGCAGTAGCTCAGGCCCAGACTGTGCCCCTAGGAGAAGTTTAAAGACTGAAACTCTAAGAGGAGTGGAGCCCAGCAGGGAATAGGGGTTGACCAGAAGGAACCCACTCATCAATCTCTTCTCTCTGAGCCTTCCTGGTAGCCACAGTGGAGCAGGGGAGACACTCAGGGATCCCCCTACTGCTACTCAGCTGGACCAGGGTCTTTTCCTGGGGCTGGAAAGCAGCTACCCCTGTGGTCTGCTTCAGATTTAAAAAGGCTCACTTTTTTTTTTTTTTTTTTTTTTTTTTTTTTGTCTTTTTCCTTTTTATCGGTAGCGGGGATCGAACTCATGACTGCCTGCTTGCAAGGCAGGCACTTATGCTGCTGAGCTAAATCTCCAGCCCCAGGAGGCTCACTTTCAAAGCTGAGTCTGTGCTATAACCTGACTTGAATGCTTGTTCTTGACCTGTAGGGCAGATGTGCAGCTGAATTCTGCCTCCAGTGACAGGGGAAGGGATTATCCTACAAAAAGTTTGCATGCCCCAAGGCCAGTTTAGGGAGCATTCCAGACAAAGTGGGGGGGAAAGGCACATTGCAAAAGTAGCCATGCAAAAGAAGAAGAAGAAGAAGAAGAAGAAGAAGAAGAAGAAGAAGAAGAAGAAGAAGAAGAAGAGAAAAAAAAAAAAAGGTTGCCATGATCAGTGTTCCCTGCAGACCTAAACAAAAGGAGTCACTCCATGTCACAAGTGAACATTTCACTTAAGGCCCCAGTAGCTCCATCAGATTCAAAATGGGAAATTGGGGGGGTGGGGGCGGGAATCATTCAACTGCAGGTTCTTTGTGGAGCCATTGCCCTTAAGCGGAATTCTTAGAGTTAACTTGCCCACAGGTCTAAATCATTTGGGCCTTGAAGACCCGCCACCGCCACCGTGACATTCCCAATGCAATTCACAGAGTGCTTCTTCCACTAAGTATGACTGTGTGTGTGTGTGGGTGCACAACAGATGGCCTCCCGCCACCCGGGCTGAGCCAGGACTGCCTGTCTGGTTTTTATGTTCTGCCCTGGGCCACTATCTGTAACAACAACAACAATAACCATGACAATAAATGCCATAAGCTCTTACCTCACCTGGCTTGGGCTGAGTTTTATTCATTTTATTTATTACCACAACCTCTTGAAGTAGCTACTGCTGTTAGCACAATTTTTCCTATAAAGAAAATGAGACCCAGAGAAGTTCATTAATCCATCTAAAGGCACACAGCCTGTTTTGAAGTAATCAGGTTTGGAACACTTTTTTTTCTGACCCAAATCTGTCCCCTTAATCCCTATGATTTCCTCTCTCTCTTTTTTTTTTTCCAGTACTGCAAATTGAACTCAGAACTTTTGCACCAAGTTACATCTCCACCTCTTTTTTATTTTTTATTGTAAGACAGTGTCTCACTAAATAGCTAAATTGCCCAGGCTGGGCTCAAACTTGTGATCCTCATGCCTCAGCCTCTAGGAGCACTGGGATCACAAGTGTGTGCCACTGTGAACTATGAGATTTTTAACCCCAGTCTCCAAGGGCTCTTTGAATGGGTTTCAGGAGTTCTTTGGACCCCAGAAATTGTGGGTAAAAGTCATAATTGAGTT